CAACGCTGGCCGTTAGTAGTTTAAGTGGCAAATTCGTTAATTTGACTAAAGTCAGGGGGTTTTCAGAGTACAGAAACTATTACCGCGAAAAATCCTGCCATACTTTATTATCGAAGCGCCAGTTGTTTCGGTTGGGGGAAAATGGTGGGCGCGAGGAGAGTCAATCTCTGCCGTCGGATTCCACCAAAGATAAAATCCGACGGTTCTAGTTTTGAAATGGGTCCCAGCTCCATGGCTGCTTTTAAAGTTGGGCGTAGCCTGGTAGCATGTGCGCAGTGGGCAATTGGGTTTCGTCCCGCGTATACACGAAGAAGCCAACTTCCATTTCGTAGGACGTGTTTGACAATAATCACGGGCTTGTAGAATAAACGCTTTTTTTGGGCGAAATTTGGCGCGCACACACAACCCCCCAAAATAAATCATTTTAATTAAAATTCGATTGCATCATCTTTTTAAAAGAGTTAGTTTAAATTTGTTTTAGGTAGACCTACACACATGATGTTGTTTTTTGTTTAGAAACAAATTTTTAGTTTTTTGTTGTTGCCAGAGTCAGGTTTTCTCGAATTTATTATCCGTCTCCTTAAATAAGACTACCATTTATGAATGTGAGGAACAAAATAGAAGGAAAAAAAAAAGTCAATGGTTGACCTGACTTCCATTCCAATTGCAAAAATGCATGCAAGGTTCCTAAATTCATGTAGCAACTTGAGGGGCATGCTACATGGGACTTTTCCTGATTTAGAAGCACTTTCATTGGAGCATATCACACGTGTGTTGGGAGAGTGTTGAGCTTTTCTTGCGCTGCCAAAATACCACACTGCCAAACACGTCCCAACAATACAGCACCCAATTGTCAAACGAACCACGTGCCTCACACCATCTCACACACTCTACTTCATGCACAGATGATCAACGGCTCAGATCTCATCCTTACACCCTTCCCTCCATCCCCTATATATAAAATGTTTCCCCGTGACTTCTTTCTATTCCATCCTCACCTCGCCTCGCTCACCTGCAAAACACTCAATTCCTTCAAACCCTCATCTCTCTTCCCCTCCAAGTTCTAAAACTTTTATTTCAAATTTTGTCATTTTAGGGTTCTAAAGGAGTCTGAGATTTGGGGTTCCTCAGACCCATATTTTCAAGAATAAGAAAAAATGCTTCTAAGGAGCTCATCAACGCCCGTACTAAATTCATGGCTACCCCACTCCAAAGACTCATCATTTCCAGAACAACAACCCGAAATGGTACGCCAAATCGCCAAAACTCGTTCCCTTGCCCTCTCGGCCTCGTCGCGGTCTCCTCTTACGTTGTCGCCGATCGACGACTCGGCTAGGAAGATGACTCGGGCGGCCTCTGAGGCCGATCTTAGAGATCTCTCGCTGACGCCCAAAAGAAAGCCATTCAAAATGCCCTTGAATGGGTTCGAGGAGAGAGAGGAGGATGAGGAGATGGAAATGGCTTTTTCTTCCGAGTTTAGGAGAACGGTGTCGTTGGGATTGCCAGAGGTGGAAGGGTGTGAGATCGGCTTGAGGGAGAACAAGGGCTTGTTGGGCGTTTTGGTTGAGGGTGGGGTTGGTGGAGGCGGTGGCAAGATCTGCGGTGGTAATGGCGAAGGGGGTGGTGGATCGGACGGTGGAGATGATGGGAGCTCAGGATTTTGGGATTCGAATAATAATGGGAGTGGTAACACTGAGATCTATTATCAGAAAATGATCGACACTTATCCTGGAAATCCCATGATTCTCAGCAATTATGCTCGTTTTTTAAAAGAGGTATGTTATATATACCAAAGCTTTGATTTTTATATCAAAATCTTTAATTTTAATAGAAAAGATTTAGATTTTACTGAAAAATATGTTTAATTTTTATCTTATCTGTGGATCTTACGTATTTTGATTAGCTGGGGTTAAATTACTTTCACCGAAGCTAATGAAACGTTGTTCAAATTGCAGGTTCGTGGGGATTTTGAAAAGGCTGAAGAGTACTGTGGGAGAGCCATTTTGGCGAACCCAAATGATGGAAATGTCCTATCAATGTTTGCGGATTTGGTATGGCAGAATCATAAGGATGCTCCTAGAGCTCAGACTTACTTTGATCAAGCTGTTCAAGCGGCCCCCGATGATAGGTGAGGGTCATCTCATCTAAATATATGCCAGTAAAAATAATAATCTTTTTGGTCTGTTAAAAAGGGCTCTGTGAATTAAAATTTTGACTGAGTTTTGTGGTTTTGATGGTGCAGTTTTGTTCTAGCATCCTATGCTAAGTTTCTTTGGGATTCTGAGGAAGATGAGGAGGAGGAGGAGGAGGAGGATTTGAAAGAAGGCGCCAACAACAGAGCATCCACACCCAATTTGTTGCAAGGAGTTCCTCCTTCACCTCCTCCATTAGCAGCTGCTGCATAAAGATATCTTCGGACTGCTGACCTTCTGTTTATACACTTATATATATCTGCCTGTTTCTTAACCTTTTTAGTGATCCTTTGGCTGCTGCTGTGCTGTGGTGAGATGGGTTGTGTAACTGAGACTGATCTGGTTTTGTTTTCAAGTTCTTTTCTAGTCATGTCTTGTAAAAGAAATGTAATCAAAATAAGTGATTAAATGGAATGTTTTGAAGGCATAATCTCTGTCTCGGTCTCTCTCTCTCCCCGATGATATTCTAACCCAGGATCTGCAATCTAAATTAGAGTCCTATCTAATGTTTCCATTTAATTTGGCACCACCATAGCTTGAAGAAACGGATTGAAAAGTTGGTTCCGTTAGGTTCGGATCAAATAATCCATGCATGAACGGTAGAAGGAAAGACTAGAGAGCGAGTTTTGAGGAAAACACTGTTTAAACACTGATTGTTGATAATAACCCTCCTCAAGCTCTGAATCGAAGCCTAAAAATGGAAAATGCCGTCAATTCTCCCTCATTTTGTGTTTGTCCTTAACGTGCATACCCACTGTCCTTCCGTCACTTTCTAAGGATGCCAAAATTCAAAATATGTTTATTTATACCCATCGTCTCCCTGCCCTCCAAACACCCCATTGTGTTAACCAGATGTAATCTCTCAACCCTACATCTCTCAGACAGCCAAAGCATTTCCTCACGAGCGAGACACCATGTCTGGACCTCTATCTCCAAAACCAGTGTCGGGTTCATTGAAGAAAAAAGCAATGAATGCCTCTGCCAAGTTGAGAAATTTTTTGTCAAGAAGGAGTAGAAGAAGCAGTATAGTCATCGCTGTGGAAATCGGTGATGTGCACGACCCGGAGAGTTGCAGTCTGTTGAGGCCTTCCGTCAGGCACTCATATTGGAGGAGCTTCTTCCTCCCAAGCACGATGATTATCACATAATGCTTCGATTCTTGAAGGCCAGGAAATTCGATATGGAGAAAACCAAGCAAATGTGGTCAGACATGCTCCAGTGGAGGAAGGCATTCGGTGCTGACACTGTTATGAAGGATTTTGAATTCAAGGAACTCAATGAAGTCCTGGAATATTATCCCCAAGTACATCATGGAGTGGACAAAGATGGAAGGCCTGTGTACATTGAGAGACTAAAGTAGATCCCACCAAGCTAATGCAAGTCACAACCATGGACCGGTACGTGAAATACCATGTCCGGGAGTTTGAAAGAACATTTGATGGCAAGTTCCCTGCTTGCTTAATTGCAGCAAAGAAGCACATTGATCAAAGTACAACCATCCTGGATGTGCAAGGGGTGGGACTTAAAAATTTCAACAAAGCTGCCAGGGAGCTTATCACACGGCTTCAGAAGATTGATGGTGACAATTATCCTGAGACCTTGAACCGCTTGTTTATCATCAATGCTGGTGCTGGTTTTCGAATGTTGTGGAGCACCGTGAAGTCCTTCCTTGATCCCAGGACAACGGCAAAGATTCATGTCCTTGGCAATAAGTACCAGAATGATTTGCTTGATATAATTGATGCTAGTGAGTTGCCAGATTTTTTAGGAGGTACATGTACTTGTGCCGATCAAGGAGGCTGTATGCGTTCTGATAAGGGACCATGGAAGGACCAGGAGATATTGAAGATGGTCCAAAATGGTGATCATAAGTGTTCAAGGAAACTTGGAACTGAAGTCACTGAAGAGAAGGGAGGTGATCAAGCTCCCGTGCACCAAATTAAGCACACTCAACCTTCTCCAATCATATCCGTTACCAAAAGTTGCCTAGAATCTTACAAGTACGAGGACTCTGCCTCAATGGCTGATAAAACTGTGGGTTCAACTAGGCGAATGGTGGTGGGGAACGGAGAGTTTGACAAATTTGCCTTCTCCGAACCAGCAGATTGTGTTGCCAAATCTGATGCTAGCGAATCTCCTGATGGGTCGGCTTTTGGATTTTCAGTGGTATTATGGCATTTATTATTTGTATTAGCAACATGCCGAAGAAGCTCACCGATTCTACCTTCTACTCCAGCGCCGTTCACTGTGATGATGATGACACAATGTGCAAACGCCAGGCGCCTTCACAGTCTGACAATATCTTTGATGCAGATTTCAAGTCTTTCATGAAGCGCATGGCTGAAGTGGAAGAGAAAGCGCTTTGAGCATGAAACAAGCGAACATGCGACCTGAGAAGGAGAAAATGCTGACTGATATTGTAGGCAGGGTTGATGTTTTGGAGCAAGAGCTCATGGCAACACAGAAGGCTCTGGAGGAGTCACTTTCCCGACAAGAAGAGCTCTTGGCACATCTTGACAAGAAGAAGAAGAAGAAATGTTTCCACTGGTGAAGGGAGAAAAGATGCTTATGATTTATGTTTCTCAGAAGCCACCTAAATTCGGCCTCACTTATTGTCCCATTTACCACATGTATGTGATTGTACAAATTTAACCTTCATAGATAGAATTGTGCATAATATGGCCAAGATTATCGTGTATCTTTTACTTTTGATTTGATTTGAGTTGAGTAATCAAAAGTTCGAGTTATTTGAGTTCAGCCTACCTAACTACATCTAATAATTCAAAATGCTTTTGGCAGGCAAAGATGGAAATGGAAAAGCTTTCTTTAATAGGGACCAAACTTGTCAAAAAGTGTGCAGTATGCTAGATCCTGAAAAAACACTTGCCTAAGTGGTTGGAATTTTCTTTCATAAAGTTCCACATTAGCCCTCTCTTTTATCTGCATCTTCTCAGCAGCCAAGCGAACGATTTTGACAAGTTAGGCCTTTGTTATTCTCTCTTTTTGCAGAGAAAAGAGTTCCAGATTGATTTTGCTTAAAGCATTAAGACGAGTTTTCTGAAACTAGTCTTTTAAGAACTTAGCAATTGTTTTATAAGCTTACATACATTGACAAGGTTTTAGCATTTCTAACAATGAAATACAGAATGAAGTAACCTAGTGAGGCTCATAAGACCCAGAACCAGCCGAGAACCGAACCACTGACCAACCCAACTCCGAGGAACACAACCATTACAATGGCAGAAAGCTCTGCCTCTGAAACTGGTACAGTTTTCGGAACTGTCATCATGATAACACTTGTCAGATACCCATTGGTCAGTCCAAGCAAAAATGTGAGAACAACCATTGGAATTTCAGTTTTCAGCCATATTGGTCCATGGAGGCAAGCAGTGAAGATGGGATAAAATAGGAGTCTGGTAATGCAAGCCCACGTTGCCTTTTTGATACTCTTTAGAAGATAAACCGCAGTCAAAGACTTGCCCACTAAATCTGCAATGTTGTACACTGTGATCAGCAAAATAGGGTACCAATCTTGAAGAAGCTTGGATTCCAGATTTTCAGCTATAAATCCTGGGAAAATTGACAAAGTCACAGTATAGATTATGAAAATCCCAAAAGCTGGCCCAGGGACTTTTCGCGCCACAGCCCAAAATTTCGGTCTTGAGCAGAATGATTCATCTTGAACAAGTTTACAATGTTCCTGCATGACTGTTAACCTGTACAGCAAGTTGCAACCAATGATGCAGCATAGGAGGAATACGGTGCTGACCATAAAATACAAGTGGGCGCTTGTTCTAAGACCTTTTGGGGTCTGTGGAAGCATTGCCTTGGTTGAAATTCTCAAAAGAGAAATTATAACACCTGCCAACAAGCAGAGGATTTGTTTAACAAATGAAAATGGGGTTACTTGTAGCTTTGCTTTTATCTTTCATGCATCTATGTGTACAGCATATACACTTCTACTATTGGCAGGCAAAAAGTACCCAAATTAAATACAGTTCGCTGGATTGAAAAAGCAAAGCAGGAACTCAAAGTGCAATTTTCTATACATGGAATTGGTACCTGAAGAAGCAGTTCCAGCAAAAACAGCTTGCATGTACTTTTTTGGAAGCTTTCCGGCGGATCCCATCAAGCTTCCTCCAACCAAGCCATCAGCTAAGCCACACACTACAACTGATGCAACTGTCACACCATAACCTGCATTGGCTCTCCCACTACTTGACCCAGTTGTACTGTACCAAAACCAGTCTGTTACAGGAGCCACCATTAAAGAGAGAATAAAAAGAGAAAATCCCAAGTTGAGTCTCAGTCTAGGGCTCATCTTCTCCCACCAGCTCCCACAGCTCATCATCACAAGTACTACCACTGATGAACTCATGTAAGCAACAGAGAAGACCTTCTCAACATGCTTGGTTGGATAGAGATGGCCAAAGTAATCAACCGCTGTGATAAATGCATTCCAAGGAAGCAAATTGCCTGCTCCCAGCAAGAAATGAATAACGTAAGCAACTTTGTATGCATCTCTTGGCTCGGCTTGATACTCTAGACCCTTCACTCCACCTTCCATTTTTTGAGTTCTTGATGGTCTATCAACCTTTGGTTGGAACTTATTAAAGCAAGCATTTTAAGCGGTAAGTGAGCATAGTGAAGTGATTTTTGACAAGAAAGGAATCTCCAACTCCTAGCTTGATTGATCCCAAGCTCTGGCTAATAATTGGGCAGGGCTAGGCTTCCTAATATACAGCTCTGGCTTATTATTAAGAGGGATGTTAGCAACCTTTTCTCTAACATTCTCTTTTGAACATTATCTATTTTTTGCTTGATATGTGTCATTTTCCTTACACTTAAAACAACGTCATTAATATATTATACAAACTAACTTTGGTTTTCTAAGTTTACCCTTATTAAATGTATTCAATTTATCCGAACAAATTTCACAACTTTCTTACAATCATATTAAATTTTTTTTAAAGAAATTTTTTGTTTAAAAAAAAAAGAGGAAATGTCATTTTTTTTAAAATAAATAAATAAATTCTAATTCTAAACTTGACGTTAAAAAAAAAAGGACATTTCCTCTTTTTTTTTTAAGCAGACATTTTCTTAAATAAAAAAAATTGTCATTAAAAAAAATATATATGTTAAGAAAGTTGTGAATTTTTTTGGAATAAATTGAATACAATTAATAAGGGTAAATTTGGAAAGCAAAAGTTAGCTTGTATAATATATTAATGACATTGTTTTAAATGTAAGGAGAATGACACATATTAAGCTAAAAAGAGAGAAGGTTCAAAAAAGAAAGTTAGAGAGAATGTTGCTAGCATTCCCCTATTATTAATTAAGTTTCCTATAAATTACGGTTTGACACATGTGCAAAAAATAATTAATATAAAACACAAAAAGAAAAACTTGTACACAAATGTCATCCTGAGGGAAGTATTTTCCATTAATTACTATCCCCTGTCTTTAGCAACTGGTAGTTTAACAACACAAGACAAGCCCATTTAAACAAACTAAGCTGGAGCCTGGAGACTGGAGCCAGTGGGTAGCTGACGGCTCTAATTACTTGCTTGTTCCATGGATTTGATTGACGGGTCCAGAATCAGCATCAAATGAGGCTCATTGATGTGGGAAAATTATGCTGAGTAGGGACATGAATGGTTGGTGGGTGATATTACTAGTACATTCAAATAAGCTGGCTGGCTGGCTGGCTGGCATGCATTGTCCGCGCCCTGCAGACTCTTGTAGCGGCACTAAAGATTTCCAGAATTCCGTTCCTCCCCTTGAACTTCCGCAATCATGACCAATTGTTAATCATGCGCAGGTTTAGTGTTCAGTTTTCAAAGTTGTGAGTCTTGTCATTACTTTTGTAAAGTAGGCTAAAGGGGGATTCACTGGAGGAGAGCCAAAACCGGTTTCTGTCTTCAAGACTGATGGGCCTGCCTATTTTTGGGGTGGCCTCAATTATTTGGTTGGAAAGATTTTGATTAGCCATCTGGGAACTTGATTCTCTTCCTTTCTTCTTTACTGTCAGGAATTAATTTTTTCATTGATGCTTCTGTACAGCTTAGAGGCACAAGCACTACACATATATGCAGGTCGTACGTAGTTGATGGAGCAGTAGCACTAGTGGCACTACATAAAAAGAACATATGAGATGATGGTGTGCCATGGCAACTGGCAAAAGTCTACATTGCACAGCTTACAGCGTATGATTCTCTTTGCTTGGTAACAATACTCAATAATGATAGAGATGCCGCCGTGTCACTAATTAATGTAGCAGTTCCTTATTTATTGTGAATAAATAAAGTTTAAAGTGGATTCGGAATAAAAACAAATAAACTACTACCACATGAGTTAGCGTCTACAAATTTACTTATCAAATGTTGAATTGAAGATCTCACTCACCCTTCAACTTTTTCAGAAAGTGAAAGAGAAGGAGTGCAGTGGTGTACCATTAAAGAGTATGAGCTATATGCTAATAATGTAACACTTGAAAAGGAAAGCTCTTGGTCTCAGATTTACCCAAAAAAAGGATTCTTTTTTGCCTATTTAGATGGCTGCGGTTACTTCCATAAGTTTATATTTATGTACTAGGTACTAGGAACAATGATGATACATACAACTTTTTTTATTATTATTTTTCTTCAAAAAAGAACATTTTCCCAATATTCTTGTTGCTCACCACAATCATTTATCCAATATATTGCTGAGATGGATTAGCAATTAAAATAGACATGAACACGCATATAAGCTTGATTCAATCAAGCTCCACAAGCCAACCCTAAACATTTTGTCTTTTCAATTTATAAATTTGGAAACCGAAATAGACCTCATTTTGAAACAAGACTTTTTCAGAGTCTCGAGATAAAATTGAAATATAAGATGAAAAAACGAGGAAGATCCAAACTTACAAATAAAGCTTTTATATGTGATGAGAAAGATAGAAAGAAAGATGTATGAAATATGAGATATATAAGTTTTTTTTTTTCTTTCCAAATTTACAGATTTTTTTTTTATAAATAAAGCAAAAATCACCAAAATTTGAGTAGAAGCACGTGCTCTTTTTACAAGTAATTTTTTAGGTTTTTCCCCGAATTTACAGATTTAAAAAAATACAAACTCACTAAAATTGGATAAATAAATAAAAACTCACTAAAATCCAAATTAAAAGAAGAAAAAAAAAACAGAACAAAACAAGTTTCCGCTTCTCAATAGTCCACAAAGAACAAGGAAAACGGTAGTCAAAAAGCGAGTTCCACATCGGACTGAGAGCAGAGAGTGGAAGCACAAACAGAGAAGGACGAGAAGAGAAGAGGAGAGAGATAGAGAGACGAATGGAGAAGGGTGGCGAAACGACGCCGTCTGCGGGGCTATACGGAGACAGAGGGGTGGGAGGGAAACTGAGGAAGCCACCGTCTCGTAAGCCGTCGACGACGCCGTATGAGCGTCCGCCTTTGAGCGAAGCCGAACGGGGACGGCGGCGGTGGTTATCGAGCGTCGTTGATCCGGCTTATCGGCTGATAGCCGGAGGCGCCACTCGGCTCTTCCCCTCTTTCTTCTCCAAATCGAACTCCCTCAGTGCCCTACCCCCGCCCAATGTCCAAAATCACGGTCAGTCCCAATTCTCTCCCTCTCTTAGGGTTTTGACCTTCTTCTTCCTATTACTTTTTCAAATTATTTATGTTTTGTGAATTAAAATAGGTATGCTGGTAAATAAAATTCATTGCTTTGCAATTGGATTGATTCAGGCATTGGTTTTGTGTGCATTCCATAATTGATTGGATTGTGCCTTGTTTCCATTATTGTTCGTTTCAATTAAATTTGATTACTTTATCTTTATGTTGCCATTTAACATTATGGATTTTTCTTTGGCTTTTAACTCATTGAGTTATTCTGGAACAGATGAATGGCACACAGAGACAGAACAAAATGGTACTGGTGATGAGGACCATTGTGATCTAAATGTGAGGCTTTTTCCATATGGATTGTATTTTGTGGATATGCAGTACCTTCAGATCCTGTTTCACAAGTCACTTGTTCTTTTATTCGGCTCATTACTATAAGTATTGTTGTAATTGTTTCTTTGGGTGCACATGCATGCAACTTCAGACGGTTTTTTTGCATTTCAAACCGTAAACTTGTTCGACATTCATCTTTGCAGAATGGGATATCCAGAACAAGTGAAACAGCAGGCCCTAGCAAAGCAGATGGATTAAAAAGTGGTTCTGATTTTGATGGAGACAAGAAAGGTGCCCGGTCTGATGAGATTGGACTTTCTGAAATTGAGCAGCTATTGAAGGGGAAAAAGTTTTCTAGGCAAGTTATGCATTTGGTAGTCGTGTAGATTTCTCTTAGATTCCAAGTTGTGTGCTGCATTTATTCCATCTTTGATTGTAGCTATCTGTAAAACATAAACTTACTAATTGTTTGCCACTATGATGCATTGCTAATGTGTCAAAATGGTGGAGCGTAGTTTTGGTTCAGATGAGCACTTTTTGTTGATATGAGTAAAGTAGTTGCTTTCCGACAGAGGTTGTATAAATGAAGGTTTTTTGAGAAGCCTGTTTCTGATATCAAAACTGTGTTTCAGATTCCACTATTACATTTGAACTAGAAACCCAAGTTTCTCTTCTTCAGACCTGCCGTCTTCATTTCCTTTAATTAAAGCTCAAGTTGTAAATTCATTCACTCGTGGGCACTCTGGCATGCAGTCTTTGTCTTATTATGTGTTATTTTACCAGTCTTTTCTTACTCCCTCTAACCTCATTCCATCTCTATCCAGGGATGAAGTCAATCACTTGATGGAAATTATACATTCAAGGGCTGTTGAACATCCTACTGTGGACCGCGAAAATAGAAATCAAACCATTAGTACTGCAGAAAAAGGTAAGGGGGTGGTAATTACAGATGATTTTCCAAAGACGTCATCTGAAGAAAAACGGGAAGACTTGAATAAAGCTATTTGGGGAACCTCAACCCCTCTACACCAGTCAGCTGTGAGTGTCGCTGTCAACTGGCTCTGTTTATAGTGACATTTAAGTAGGGAGAATCAATTTTGTTAAGCATTTTAACTTATGTGAATTTTTTAATTCATGCATTTATCCTCCATAAGAATTCTTGCTTATTGTTTGCTCAATGCACTTGATCTCTGTCATTTAAATCATCACTCTGGTATTGGTGAATGGAATTTTAGGAGAGGTAAAAGATTATCCAATGGAGTAACCCATGCCCTTTTGAGTGTTCTTCTAATTTTAATTTATTTTGTTAAAGGATCCAACCTTTCTTTCCTAAACTGCTTTCATTGTGTCTGTTTCTGCATATCCATGATGGTTGTGATTATCATTTTCTTAAAATTGAACAGTGATTTGTTTTTCTTATTGAAAAAGCAAAGAAAAGTGGCGTGCAGAAGTTACCCACATATTTTTGCAGATAAATCTGAATTTAACTTCTTAAATAGTTGAGTTGTGTAAACACCTTCCATGATACGTTGAATTTTGATATATGTGGTTCACTTGCATCCTTTTATATTCTTATATGAATCTCTTATTTCTTTCAAACTTTTCAGATTCGAGATGAAGTAGGTGCTTCACCTAT